GCTGGAGGCCAGACTTGGTCGGATAGTTTTGATGATCTGCCAGAAAAGATGAAAAGAAAAATAAAGATTTGTGGAGGAGTTTAGATTTGGAGTTGGATGGAGACAGATGAGTCCTTTAGTCAATTAAATACCAAAAGAAAGTTTTATTGATGTTTTTTTTTGTTTTTGTCCAACTCTCTTTTAAATGAACCACCGTTTAATATCTATTGTCAATCAGAGTATTGAAGAAAAGTTTTGTTTTCTCATCCCTATAACAAATTGTGTCTGTTTCCACTCATCATCCTTTTGTTCCTGACTTTTCGTAAATTTTAGAGTTGATCTGTTTTATTTTGATTAGGTCTGGCCATGAATTATAACTCCTGTCCTTTTATTTTACTCTGCCAGCACTTTGTTCTCTCAAAAATATTATGTTCCACATTATCTTTGTGTCTCATTTGCAAACATTTCAAATTCCCTTGATAAAAGAAGCAATGCAATTCTGTGGGTTTTACCCCTGAGAGAACAAATGTCTCAGACATTTACCCACTATCTTGGCTCTTCACCTGGTGGAAGCACAAATTGATGCTGATGTGTGAACTTGTTGGCGGTGCTGCTTTAAATTCAGTTATGAAATAACAAATAAGTGAAAGGACTGCTGGCAGAGGTTCAGACGGGGACTCAGAGATCTGGTCCATTTTATACACACTCTATCTGATGGTGTTCCATCTACTGGATGTGCCTTATGAAACCAAAGACCACAACAAAAAGAAGAATAGACGTCCGTATCCAATGGGCTGTTGACATGTTTAGCCACGGCCAGAATTTCCAGCCTGATAGCACGTTGACCACCCACACATCAGTGGAGCTTCCATGGTTGGCCCAAAGTGCTGCAAACGAAAACAACATGGACACTTTGGTAAAGTCGCATGGGTTTTATTCTCCTGAGTTTGAAGCTTTTGTTTGGTTCTCAACGCTTAATAGGACTTTTCTGGGGGTGGGTCAGGGGGAAGGGAGTTGAGACTGGATTAATTTAGCTTTTTAGTAACTCGGTTTGTATTAGTGCCTCAGTGTGTTTAGAAGTCTTTGATTTATCATCTCACTAAACTAACTAAGTACATGATTTTAAAACATCGGAATAATTTTAATTTAAAATGCATGCAAAAGATACAGATCAACAGCAGCAGCCATGTTGGTAATGATCTCCAAATCAAACACATAGTGTATGATAATGTTTACTAACTGTACCTTCATTTTAATCCCCTCTCTTCTCAGCATCAATGCTAATACAGTTAGGATTATTTCTATTACTTATCCTTGAGTTAGGTTTACTGATATAACTTTATTATTGGATGTAAAGGCTTGGTAAATATGTACTGTAGGTTCTGGAGATTACCAATCCAGCTGTTATATATAGCAATATTTTCATTGTTGGTAAAAAATTAAGGATGTCTCCATCTGATACTCAGGACCGGTATCAGTCAATCTTGTTCAAAATGTCATGATTTTGACCCTTCCAATCGCTACTAGTTACTAAGTGTCTAAAAAAATTATCTGTCAAAAAGACAATAGAAATGTAGAAGAAAGAAAATGTGGCTCTGACTCTATTTACAGCAAGGAATGGGAAAACATTTCTCAGAAGAAACACTATGCTAAATATGTGAAATTTGGTGAAATTACTTTGGGAAATACTCTACCATGGCAGACATACGTACGTAGCTACATGGACTGGATACAACTGTGTCCTATTAAAAAATGTCTTCTGCCTCACCAAGGAATGTTAAGTTTTATATGCAGAGACAATTATTTGACAACCTTGGAAAACTGAAACACTGAGTGTCTTCTGTCCATTCTTAGATAAGTAGAGGTTTTGTTGGATAACTGAACACATTCCTGTTAATCTACAGTCATGTAAATACACTCCTTCCTCTGGAACAGAACAGAACCAAAACTGGTTGACGATCCAGAACTGAAAAGATGCCAAAAAGTGCAAAAAAATGAAACCTGACTCGCAGAAAACTAGAAGGATTTGTGAGCAGTGTGCAGCGTTACTGTTACCTGACAGAAAGCATGTGCGTTCCTGTCATTTCTATATTTAAACATACAGCCGGTCAGAATGGATGCGTTTTCAACCTGACTGTGCTTCACTGAGTCTGTGACTGCTGCTGTGGATCAGTGTTTAACCTCACAGCCCTAACGTCACATTGACTGATACCTAATGACACACGCATTCATTCTGCCATGGACAGAAGGCAACAACACATGCACATTTATGGAAAGCCTGGACTTTAAACATTGGTCACTGTGGATGGATCATCTGTCTTTAGCATAGTCAATCTTCATGGAGGCCTGAGGGGAGAATAAATATTTTGACTTTAGCAGGAGTCTTTTAAAACACAAAGTTTGGACAGTGGATGTGGCAGCCATAACAGTAACATGCTCTAGTACAGTCTTCATATATTCTCCTCTATTTTTTATTTCACTTCTTTAGCCACAATTTTTTTTTAGCAGGATCTATTTTTTTTTTTAATATTATGCTTCAAGCAGCAACTAATTAAACCATCAGTCAGTCAGTTTAAAATGTTAACTTTTATACATCAACTAGTGGTAGTTTTGAGGTTCCTGCATCAGTATTTGAAATAAAAGTAAGATTCATACTAGTTTTCAGTATTGCTTTAATTTTTTTTTTTTGGTGTCTCCCATGAAATATACGTAATTTCTGCTCTCTGCTTCTTTTAATCTATAATTTGACTAACATTTGGTTATTCAAACTTTGTGTAACCTTTATCTACTGTGGCCTTTTAACTTCTTACAAGCATTCAGCTATGACCTCCAAATTCTCTTTTTGCTAATTTTTAGCTACGTAAAAACTTTTTTGCAGTCAATGATTATTTATTTATTTAGTAATATTCAAGCTCTTTCTGTAGCCTTTTCCTCCTGCTTTAGCTAACTTTAAGTATTACTACGGGATTACCTTTGGGTGTTTTTATCGTAGCTAACTTTAGCTCAGTTGAAGCATTTTCTACAAGTTGGTTTGTTTGTATGTGTAATTGTTTCCAGGGTAACTATTCTTTTAGCTAAGAGCCAACATGCTTTTAGCTCTATTTTGTTTGATTATTGACATATAATTAATCATCTAATTTATTTTTGTATTTCTAACCTGGCTGTCAACAGTAACAAAGTCAGAAGAAGAAATGTACATAATGTCTTTAACATTCTCCAAACTGCTTTACCCTGGCCTTGGTTCAAGAAGTGAGTAAAAAAAGAAGGTGAGAGTGGTGAGTGGTGTCCTTTGTGGTGGAGGCAGCTGTAAAACACATTGATTTGATAAAATAGGACCAACAAAAGCCATTACGCTGAAAGGTCTGCGTTTGCAGTGCATCCACACTTAAAATCAAATTAGCCGCTTTGTTTTGTTTCCTCTGGCAGACCTTTTAACAACACAATGGAATGCAAATGGTGGGGGCCACATTTAAATAGTGGGATTTCACACCTTAAGCCTTATCATGTAAGGAGGTGAGGCAGGGAGGAGATGTTCTCTGGTGGATCAGCAAATTGACTTTGGCCTGTGGTTTGTAATTAGGTTTGGATAAAGATGTCATTTCCACATTGTTTGTATTCTGTGCTAATACAAACATAGCTTCATTAGATCATTTGAAGCTAGTTAAATCAAATTTAAATACCCCTGCACAAGGCCGACAGGTTCAACATCTGGCCCCTAGGGTCAACTGTGGCACATGGAAAGATTTTATGTTTGACTTATTTGTACAATTTTGATATTTTGGTCTAAAATGTTTTTGCTTTTATGATATCTTTTTGTGATATCTAGGCTAATTTTGAAAAATGGACCTAGTCTAATATACAGCCATAGCATCGAGCAACATTTCTGGCTGAAGTTTAAGAGATTTCCCGGTTTGCTTCAGATACATTTTAGTTTTGTAATAACACAGGTTTACATTTTTATGGAAACATTTTTGTTACTGATGTTACTAATGTTGTTAGTAATTAATATTACTAATTACTAATGTTAAAAATGTCACTCAGTGACCTAAATTGTAGCTATTTTTGTAAGTAACTAAACCTTTGCTCTATCACTAACCTTTAAACAAAACCCCTTTGACAAGTTCTAAATATATGCTCAAACCATATTCCTTCAAATGAGTTGTGTCAGAAAATGCTGTCTGTGCTGGGAGTGGTTGCTGGTTGACATGATGTTGGTGTGAAAAGTGTTGTCCTCCCTGTTGTTGTTGGAGGCCTCTTCCTCTGTTTCCTGAGACTCACGTCTTTCACATGGAATCGCTGGAATGACTGTTGGACACACGACTTTGTGCATCTTGTGTTATTGACATTATTAAAGCCGCAGAGCTGGGACTTTTCCAGAAGACGAGTATCAACTCATCTTTCAGAAACACTTACTGCTGCTCTGAAAACATTTCCTGGAAATTTTTTTATCTGAGCAATTCTTTCCTTTTATTGCTAAACCTACATTTCAGACACAGTGTTCATGTCCTCAAACCAGACTTTATTAAGCAACATTCTTTGCATATTTTTTTTTATTTTATAAGAATATTTTTCTGTAATAACAAGTGCAGGACAGTCAATCAGACACTTTATGTTTACAAAGCCACATTTTTGTATTTGGTTCTGTATGGGCATCATGGTCATCCATTCACTGGGAGATGAACTGGTCTTAATCAAAGTCACATGTCACATTATAAATCCAATATAAATATATGTCTCTCGTTACTGTAGATGTATCTCCATTATTAACTAAGAGCAACAAATCAAACTAATTTCACGAACACGTTTTTAAATATTATTCCAGCACGTAGCACAATTCATCCAAAGAGAGGGCTTTCATTAAAACGCCTTTTTCTAGTATCACTGGAAAATAATTTCATTCAATTTCGTTCAAATTCCCCTGTTGTTGCCTCGACTCAGAGATAGAGGCGTAGAAGCAGTAGGTTAGGGGAGGCTCCCGGGGAGATTTTTCTTTTTTTACACTCTGGGGTAATTAAAGCTCTTTGAGTGACAGGACAGTGCCAAAAGGCTGAGGCGCACTCGGATTGGTCAGAGCGCACTTTTACAATCTCCTCTTTACCAAGCTGCGCACAGTGAGCAGCTCTGTACCTCCTGAAACTCTCAGAGGAGCAGAGAGCACCAGCAGAGCCGCAGCTGAAGCGTCTGCAGCGGACTTTACCCAAACCGAAGACAAGACTCCACAGTCCACGCGTTTTACGCACGCCGACCTGCGTTCCTGCGACCCTATTTTTTGTTTTTCTTCAAAGTATCTCTCCTTGATTTTAACAAAGTAAGTGTTTCTTGAGCACTGAGCGCTTTTGGAAAGAAAACATGAGATCCACCTCTAGGTCAATGTGTAGAATGGTTCGACTGGTACTGACACTAGTCCTGGTATCGGCGTGCAGCGCGTCCGAGTACGAGTACCTGAGCTGGAAGCCGGACTCCGCACTCGAACGGCGGCGGCCGCAGCTACGGCAAACCGCCGCAGTGCTGGGACATCCCGGACGACCTGAGGCTGTGCCACAACGTGGGTTACACCCAGATGCTGCTGCCTAACCTGTTAGAGCACGAAACCATAGTCGAGGTGAAACAGCAGGCCAGCAGCTGGGTGCCCCTGGTGCACAAGAACTGTCACCCCGGCACGCAGGTTTTCCTCTGCTCGCTATTTGCGCCAGTGTGTCTGGAGCGGCCGATCTACCCGTGCCGCTGGCTGTGCGAGGCCGTGCGCGACGGCTGCACCCCGATCATGGAGGCGTTCGGCTTCCCTTGGCCGGAGATGCTCACCTGTGACAAGTTTCCACAGGACGAAGTTTGTATCGCTATGACGCAGCCCAACGCCACCGACGCCACCAGGCCCACAGGTACGACCCACTCAACTGGTTTAAATCATTTTTCGAAATAAAACGCCGGGTAGAATGTCGATAAAAGTTAGACTATATGTCTGTATGACCAGTGGCGTGCAAAGGTATTTCCGGGGAAGGGGCCCAAAGGTAAAAAATGGCGCTATACTTTTACCCCCATTGCAGTATTTATTAGTAAAATTCTTTATAGGTTTTTCCCCTCATAATGCTGTTCTCTGACTTTTCTGATAATTCCGAAAATGTGCGCAATACATACCTATATGTAGAAACATACAATGACCAGTGGCATTTTAGAGAAGTTTAAATACATCAAAATTGGAAAAATATAACGATACAAAGATTCATTTATTTAAATGTTGTGCCCATGTTTAAAACTGACGTTTTATAAAATTCCCACCAAGAAATATTTCTTATTAAAACTTACATTTTAACTACTACTACTTTAGTAGTTCAAATGTAAGTGGCTGATAATACAAACAGAAAAGGAAATAAATAAAACAGCACTTTTTTTGTCAGATTTGTAAGTGAAGATGCGTTTGCTCCACTTAGTGCCTGTCAGTGTATGTGCGTGGTGCATATGTGCATCTAAGAACACAGTGGAATGAACCATAATGCTACAAAATTCTCAGTGTTTTCTTCAAACCTGCGTCTTGGTGCCTTTGACATTTTAAATAAGAGGCAGCAGGTTCGCCACACATTTGTATACACACACACACACCCACACCAGTGTTTTTCAACCTTGGGGTTGGGGCCCCACATATGGATTGCCTTGACTCTAAATAGTTATCAGATAAAAAGACTTGTTGAAAAAATAATTATTCCTTTTAAAACACACAATCGTAAACGACTGTATATTCTCTCTTAAATTAATATAAATATAGTTCAAATAAAATACGACATATAAAAATATCTGAGGTGGCGCACTTTCATTGATGACCCCAATCACGTGAATGCGCAAGTGACAGCTACTAAAATGTCTCTGGGGTCACCAGAAGTTTGGGTCGTTAGCCAAAAAAGTTTGGAAACCGCTGGTGTATACAGACCTTTGAATTTGAAGCAAAATGAAGCATGACTTTGTCCTGCTGACAAATGAGTTGGTTTTTCTGAGAAAAAGAGAATCTAAACATTAGCATATGTCTCTCTAAAACACATAAGTATATACGCCACTGCATCAATTGTACCTTAACATATTTGGATCTTCCATTGTGTCAAAGATACAAAAGATACAAAATGTATTTTGCCATTTTTCTAAATGCTAGTTGATGGGTTGAATATCTTTATATTTTCCTTAAGCAACAACTTTTATTTAGTTTCACCCTTATTAAAACACAAAGAATAGAAAAATTAGATCACAGAGTCATGACCAGATTTTTCTTTCCGGAAACTTCCAGAGGCAGAGAGAAGTTTCTAATTTGCACCAAGTTAAATATTTACTCCTGTTTTTCCATGAATGTTATTTTGCAGCATGTTGAATAAATGTTTTCTAAGACCTTCCATATTTTGCCAGAAGTCAAAAGTGGTTCTAAAGAAATCTATTTTTTTCTATTTTAATATTCAATTATGGATGTCCTTTGCTTTAAAAGAGCCCACACACACTCACACATGCACACACACACACACACACACACAGAGTTTCCAGACTCTGTGGTGGTATCGACAGATGGCTTGTTTTTTTTCCCAACAAAGTCCAGAAAATATATTTTGTGTTAAAAATCTGAACACAAATGAGGTCATACAGATGACAGGTCCAGGTGCGGCCAATGGGCCAACTGTGACAAAGGTTTTATGTAGTCGATGTCGACTCTTTTTTTTATTAATAGTTATTGATTAAAAAGAGCCATGAAAATGAAACACGTTATTTTGAACCTTATACCTCAGTCAACGTCAGAAAGCTGCTGTTGGTATTACATTCAGTAATTTTTAGGCTATTGTGTTTTTTTTCTGCTAATGTGTTGGTAGATTGTGTATCTCTTAGCCAACTCCCCCACTGATATTATTGTTTTTTAGTTTTTTTTTAGCAATTATTCTCCAATCTTAGCACACATTAATGCTGTTTTAGCTGTGTCAGACCTATTTGAGCTACATTTTAGCAATTGCTATGGGTAAACATATGCACTTATTGGTATATTTTCTTTGATGGTCTACCAAACTCATTATAAACTTTGAACTTTAGCCTAACTATCTGTGAGAAGTGAGAAGCAGCCACCACTTTTGCCACTAGTGTCAAAGTCGACAGGGTCTCAGAGTAACAGGCCTGAGAATGTTGTTTCAGCAGTGAAGGTGTGTTTGCAGATGCAAATCTCAACACAAACAAACCAAACACAGCCTTTTGGGGCGAATGGGTAAAAACCTGGATTTGATTTGACTTTAACACCAGAATGCCATGCACATAGCAGGGCGGCCCGTACCTCAAACAGACCTCCAGATCTCCTGCAGATACTGAGTTCTGCTCTATGATCTTACTGCACAATCTCCTTCATGCCAGTGTGAAGATGCATTCTGTTGACTCAGAGCTAAAAGAAGAAGAAGAAAAAAAACAGCCCTAACAGATGGTAGTCATTTGCTTCAAGGTGCCTGTTGAACTGCAGGACAATACTGGGAGGACGTCCAGCTCTGAAAAGTTCAACGTCTGCACCGATTCATTCCTCCGTCTTTCCCCAAACCATCACTGTCAAATGCATCAAAGAGGCATAAGAGAAAAACACACATGTCCATGTCCAAAATGATGCCTGTTAAACTACACCCTGGAGGTGAGCAGGAGCCATGGCAATAACCTTTCCTCCAACCCCCCATCTTAACCCTTCATCCCCATGGATATCATCTATCGCTGATGGATCCCTGGCTGTAGATTCCCCAAAACTGCTGGGACCATATTGTGGGTTGTCTTATTGAGCAGAGTCATGCAGCATCAGGGAAATAGAAGGGAAAAAGGGGAAGGAAATGGGGGGTTGGTTTTATCCATTCTGATGAGCTAAACTGAAAAATACCAGAGAACCCTTTAAAAAAATACACTCTCGGCTTGATTTCAAATAGTTTGCGAGGTTCCTTCATCTAATACCACCTCAGACAAAAAAAGTATGTATTTGCGATTTTAACAGTCGGGTTGAAGGACAAGAGACAGACTTTGTGTTTTAGTTTTCTAAAACAATTATATTTCTGAAGCTAGACAGGTTTACAAATCAGTTCTGCTACATGTTTAGCTCGAAAAGTTCCACCCACTTAAAAAAAAAGCCCTCTCTCCAGTGGCTGAACCATTAAAAACTCACATCTAGACCAGAAAGCCCATTTAGATCATACTTTAGCGGTTAGCACAACTGCTTACATATACTTGCCTTACACGCACAAGGTCCTGGGTTTGAGTCCCATAGGAACCACACAGATGGTGCCTCCCTTGCAGTAGCCTGTCACTGCAGAGACGGATGGATGGATGGATGGATAGATGGATAGCATTCCCTATGAAGCGTTGAAGCAGGGAACAGTTCACATGTTTAAAGAGATAGTAAGCGCTGGTCAAACCCACTCATGTTGGAATGTTTTTGCTTTCAAGCTTTATTGGACAAATGTGGATAGATTTAATGTGTTTTTACCCCTATGGATTTGTGAATTAAAGTAGAGTTTACACAGAGGGGGGTGACTGGTGCAATAAACAGTTCTCAATTACTTTTTTAAATTACACCAGAAGCGTTGCTAAAATCTCTTTAATAAACTCCAGAGTAGCTCAGGTTTGTACATTTCAACCTGCAGTAGAAAATAAATCGTTATAAATAAGTTGGTGGCTGCAAATGAGGGAGCTGTGGATTGTCCACTGAGCTCGCTGTATCTGCAGGTACCCTGGTGGAGTCCTTATACCAGGGCTACAGCGACCACATAGCTGCTCGCTCCCCCCAGATGTCACCTGTTGTCATCCATAGTCAGTGAGCACTT